TGAACAGTTGAAAACAGTCCTTTTCATCCTAGTTGTTACAGTTATTCCATCTTTCAATGCAATGGTATCATTAAAAGTTCAAAATTCATTGTTTAAATTTTGAACCAGCCTGGTGTGTTGACTTCATGGCTCCTATCGTACCATTTTGGGCCATACTATGATGCCTAGGCCTGTTTTTATTTTTATTTTTTTTTCGCTCGCCCGCTCCATTATTTTTGTAGAAAAATCCGTTAACCAAGAAATTAAATTGGTGTGGCCTAAGGCTCAAAAGGGGGTAAATCTGGACTAGTAAAGCAAAAGGGTGGGGTGTATCAGTACTTCATTTATGTCATACAGAAGGATTTGGCAAAGTACAAAGCCATTGGGATGTAGTCTTTGGAATTTGAACAATGACTCTCCAAATATAAAGTCTCTTGATTTAATTCCAAGACATTTTGCAAAGTGTATCTTGGAGGTTTGTTGGTCCTTTTCAAACAGTAAGGCTATACTGTATGTGATAATTGATTTCCAGATTCACAAAAACCCCTTCTGACCCTTTAGAACGCATAAGCGTTGAGAGCAGCTTTGGAGGACCCCTGAGTACCCTTCTCCATCTCTACGCCACACTTGTGTCGCGGGTTGAAGCAGCCGACGCTCTGTCCCACCCGGATCTTCTGTCCGTGGTGCACGTTGAACACGAAACTTTTCGGGGCCTCAAAGACGAGCACGATGGTGGATCCGAGGTTGAATTCGCCGTACTGGTCGCCCTTGTGGAGCTCCACCCCCCTCCCCAGGTGGTCCAGGAAGATGTGGTCGAAGAAGTCTCCGTTGACGTGGTTCTCTGCAGGGTTGTTTGTGTACAGGGCCTGGAGGGGTCATGGAACACATAAAAATAACACTGATACATTATACAGAGAAGATACAATATTTACTAGACAACCACCTGTTATCTATAGCCTGTGTTACACAAGCTCTCGGCCGGAGGTTAATGACCCCTTTTTGGGGGGTGGTAATCTCCAAGCAGATCTTTTGGTGGCCAAAAAAGATAGTATCCAACACGCGGACACTCACAATATCCAGCCGGCCGACAGTATCCAACCGGCCACCGTTGGATGGGCCGGCTGTCAGAAAAAAATAGAAAATAGAATAGAAAATAGAAAAAGGTCACAATCTTCCCATTCAACCTCTGCTTGGAGAGTAGGGGGTGGCAACTTCGGGGCGGCCGGCCGCCAGGAGCGTGATTAGTCAGGCTACTGTTATCTACACTCTCCACACAAAAAGTTAGGAAACTGATCAATTATATCTCCTAATTACTTATCAATTGTATTATGTATCAAAGTAAAGCTAATTTACAATGATAATTGTGATAATCCTACATTGAAATGTTGAACACTTGCAAGCTGACCATGCAATTTAGTGTATCACAAAACAAAAGTGTAAAAATTTCCCTGCCAACACAGTGTCTGACACTGGCAAGAGGATTTCATCGCCTTTTTTTTTCAAGCAACTGCCTTACCGTGTCGAAATAGATCTTGATAGAGCCGACATTAGTGGCTCCGACGGGACTCATGGAGAAGAAGCCCTCGGACCAGCGACCGGACAGGACAACTCGCTCGTTCAGATTGAAGACGTTATTCACACAGCTGAGGATCCAGGGGTTCACTGTCACCAGGGCACCTAGATTTGTACAACCGATAACAGTTTGATAAGTCTATCATGAAAGTTCATCTGTGTTGGTAGTTACATGTTTAAAGTTAAAACTTTTGGTCCAACACACTTCAAAGGAGCCACGTGACAAGCTTCACTGGGTCAGTCTACTGAGGAAGACCAGAGTGACTGGTCGAAAGCTCTAGGTGAGAGAATTTTTTGTGTTGGACCAAACGTTTTAACTTTAAACAGTTTGATTAGTCCATGTCACACAAAATGGGGGTTGGAAAAGAAACTTAAACTTTGAAGATTTATAGTTTTATGAAATATCAAAGGAATAAGTTTGTTAGTCCTGCTGAAAGTGTCCCCTGACTTGAGTTTGAATTATTTTCCCCTCTGACCTAGAAAGTGTCAAAGGTGTTGTACTGAAGTGTCAAAGGTTAATTGTTATATCCTCTAACCTAGGGAGTGTCAAAGGTTAGCTGTTTTACCCTCTGACCTGGGAAATGTCAAAGATTAACAGTAATATGCCCTCTGACCTAGGGAGTGTCAAAGGTTAACAGTTATGCCCCCTGACCTGAGGAGTGTCAAAGGTTAAGTTATGCCTCTGACCTGGAGAATGTCAAAGGTTAACAGTTATGCCCCCTGACCTGAGGAGTGTCAAAGGTTAAGTTATGCCCCTGACCTGGAGAATGTCAAAGGTTAACAGTTATGCCCCCTGACCTGAGGAGTGTCAAAGGTTGACAGTTATGCCCCCTGATCTGGGGAGTGTCAAAGGTTAACAGTTATGTCCCCTGACCTGGCCGGAGTGTCAAAGGTTAACAGTAATATGCCCTCTGACCTGGGAAGTGCCTTCTGTGCAGGACCTCCCAGTCTGCAGGTGAGTGAAAGCGGTGGTAGTCGCCAGGTGCCAGGTAGATGGTGATGTGAAACAAGCTGTTGACATCAGGATGCTCCAGGATCATGTTCTGGTAGTCATCTATTCCAACTTCTTCCTGAAGGGACAAAATTATGTGTCAGGGAAGGGAAAATTAGAGAATCATTCCTGACAGCCTGATTTATAAGTTACCTTGGCCTTCAAGCATGTATTTCCCAAACCTTCTGCTAAGTTGGACGTGTCCCAAGGCCTATATTGCAACCATTTTGAACTTTTAGTGCATGTTTGAGCCTTTATTGTCCCAGTTCAGTACCTGTATTTTCTTTTCTTTTGGTGTTTACAGAATTTTACCATCTACTGTAGAGAGATTTTTATCTAAAAAGAAGATTTCAGTTGACCTCTGACCTCATAACCTTTAGCCAATCCCCAGTTGTTGTTACTGCGGCCCAGGAACCTCTCGAGGGAGTAGGTCACGCCCTTGACCTGTTCCAGTTGGCTGTTGGTCACGCGGCCAAAATGCACCACCGTCCCGTCCGCAGGGCTCACCTGTAGGGAGAAAATGGAACACCATCAGCTTTTTCAGTTAGCATTTACAACTGTTAAAGCCTGAATGAAGGTTAAATTCTCAATACTAACTGTAGGGGCTCACCTGTAGGGAGAAGATAGAACACCATCAGCTTTTTAAGTTAGCATTTACAACCGTTAAAGCCTGAATGAAGGTTAAATTCTCAATACTAACCTATACATGTGAAAGAGAGTGGCTCAGAGCAATTTATCGTCACTGGGCAATTCCATCAAGATTTGTTGCTAGTTAATATCATTAAAAAAGTTCTCTGTCACATGCTTGAAAATGACGCTGTCGTCATAGGCAGAGATTGGGCCATGTGCGATCCTAAAAATAGTTCTAGTTGCGGTTGCCTTAGACAAGTGGTTGGCTTATGAAAGTCTTTTCTAATGCTTACGTCTATGGGAAAAAAAAAAGACTGAGAAAAAGCTGTCATTTTGGTCGGCTGGTTTACAGAGGTGTACATGTCCCTTGGGCAAGTTGACCTGCGTTTTGCTATGTCAGTCAAAAAAAAAAAGACTGCGATCACAAAAGTTTTTTGGGCTTAGCTTCTCAGAAGTTATTCTAAGCAGCCGAACAGGTACCCATCCCTAAATAACACAATAATTGTCACTGTCTGAGTGCCATTAGGTGGGCCAACCACTTTCTAATTGCAGCCCGGGGCTAAATTGATTGTAAGGGTCTGAGCTACCGGCTAGCCTGACTAATCGCCCTGAAGTTGCCGCCCCCCAAGTGGGGTGGGGGTCAGTAACCTCCGGCCGAGAGCTTGTGTAACGCAGGCTAAGCTACCGGCGTGAAAAGGTCCTTTTTTGTTGTATTTTTGATTGATGATGCCAATACTACAATGTACGTAAACTGCCTCGGGTGTATAACGACAATGCTATCTTTGTCTGCGTAGACACAGCATAGTTGACCCACATCTAATTTATCTAGAGCTAGATCTACATGTGTGGAGGAACATGTGCAGAAAATCAAAGACGGTCTAAGAGTCTGTCTTTAAACACTGAATACTGCAAAACCACCAGAATGACCAGATTGTACTTACTATTCTGTGAACAGGGTCTAAAGACCTGGCATTGGGTCTGAGTTGCCTTGTGAAGAAGTCTTGTATACATGTGTACTGAGAAGGGTCTGACACCAAGGCTTCTTTAAGATTGGCGCCGAAGAGCCAGCAGTACAGGCGCACGATTGGTCCACGTAGCCAGGCGGGGAGGACGCGGCTCTGGATGGCCCCCCACAGACGGGACAGCTCGCGCCACGGCAGGAAGAAGTAGAAGTAGACCTGGAAGAGAAAAAAAAAACACTCTTTAGCCTTTACTTAATGAGATTTTTTTCTTCCAAGCCAAGGTGGAGGCCTGCCTTAGGCTAGTGCCCAAATATTACAAGATTATGAAGACGTACTTAGTAATATGTTTACATAAATTCTTTTGAGGGATTAATAACTTTATCATGATAATTTTTGGAGCTAAATTTTCTTTCAAATCAAAAAAAAAAAAAAAAAATTAACGGTTTTAACTTTCACCTGTAAACTGAGTCTAAATGATCAATCTCTTTAGAAGCAGACCAACAAAATGCCAAACTACACACCAAAGTACAAACTGATGATGACCAGTTTTTTCTGGTCTAAAGTCCATTTTGGTGTTAGGTAATGCCTCACCTGATCACAAAGGTAAGAACTGTTACATAATCCCAAATTGTGTACTGCATAAGCAAATTTGTGTGGACTAGAACCTGTCCACCCCCTCTGCTGGACTTGGTAGAGTCCAAAGAAAGCACTTCTAGTACTAGGTTCTAGGGTGATTGAACCAGGATGTGGGGTCCCACAATGAGGCAGATCAGTCGATCACAAAACAGTAAACAGATCAATCCTCAGAGATTATACCTCACAATGTACAGGACAGAGCGGGGAAAATCTTGGGACACTCCAAGGAGCATGCAAATACACCACAGATAGTTCAGCTGTGGTTTGAAAATCTTTGCAAAGGGAAGAGAGGTCTTTTGATCAATTGACCGTTCAATACTTTAAATCATATAGCAAGGACATTATATTATGTCTTTGATCATGTTCTAGCCTGCCTGATTTTTTTCTGTCTGTAAATTTTGCTTGTCGTAACATCATCATCATGTCGCGTTGTGGCGCCACATCTACAGGTGCCCACATCTTGAGGGTCTAATATAACCTGGTACATGTATGTCGTGGTTGGGTGGGTTTACTTCGCGGCTGCCGAGGCTCTTCCCCGCCCGTCTGAGCTAGGTTCCTCTGGGATTTTTTTCACGGCAGGAATTGATAAGGCCCACCACGATCGTGGTGGGACTAATTAACTCCAATCTAATAATATTAGCGTAACACACCTGCCGGGCGGCCTGTTGTACTGGGCGGGCCGGGAAAACTAGTAATAGAGCCCCGAACTCGGACAGCCTGCCCCGCGACCCGACTACCGGATAGACTGGACACCAGGTTAATGAGGGTCTGGGGACATGCTCTCAGCTCCGGGCACATTTTGAAATCTTAACCGTGTAAAAAAAAACACTATTTCCTGCATTATGATAATAGATTAATCTTTAATAGTGACATCTCTATCTATACATTTTCAAGCCTATTTTTTCTGTCAGAGAAGACGGGATGCGTAGAATTTTTGTCCGGCATGACGGAAAGACGGACGCCGCCTAGAACGGACTCCATGGAGTTAAAGGACATAATTTCTCTCTTGTCATTAAATTTTACCACAAAATTTTTCCCTAGAAATCCCGTATCCCCCGCCCAAAAGTCATGTGGGCCACCCCTGGAAAATAACAGTCCATAATTCTTTCGGAAACAGCTGTAAATTCAAGCATGATAGTCGCCTCCAGTTGTCTATCCATTACTACCGTTGTACATACCATTTGTGACTGTTAGAGACCACTTTAAAGACTGATGAATATTCAGCAAAAACTATTCAGGATCATGTTTATTGAACGAAAAGAATTCCATCGGTGATCCGTTTGGTATTTCTTCACACACACAAAAAAAATTACGCACAAACCATCAGAAATATTTTAGGCTCACTCATGCATAAATGTATTATACATGCGGTGCCACGGCGTTTAGGGAGGGAATATCACACAAATTATTATGCCGAATGCATCTACCTTTTGTATTTTCATTGGTTCTAGCATCAATGGTACGGAACACCGAGAGAAAACTGTAACAGCAATGATACCAGAGAATAAGGATTCATATCTGGTGTACATCCGTCAAAAAAAAGGGGGCGTTTGACCGTTTGTACAACGTGGTCAGGATCCCGGACACGAGTGTGCCTCAAAGGCATTTAATATGTCTAAAAAAAGAAGTCTACCTGCTGCGTGCCATGTCACACAGCGGTATGGCTTCCATTTATTTTTCAGCATTTTACGTGCCTTTCAAATGGCATTTTTTTTAAACGTGCAGAACAAATTGCAGCCACACATCTACTTGGAGCCTGCCAAGCATGGTGTATGACTCAGCCCCACAGCCGGTATCCCGGCTACAGACGTCCCGCTTGTCAAACTCACCTGCAGTCGCCTCAAGAATGACAACTCAGACACGAGAGAGATCTCCACACTCATTGCTCCTTATTCCCTCCTCGTAGATCGTCCGGACAATCATAGATTCTCTCCAAGGCGTCTTGGCAGGGCTACGAACACTTCCTTCCCCCGGCACGCTAGCCGGCTGGTCCCCACGCTGTACTAGGCAATGCACGGAAAATTCCACGCCCATTCAACAGAAGGGGGCCAAGACCCCCTACCCGCTACAAATAATCATCTCGTGGTCTCCACATCAGAACATTACATAAAATGTATTGCACTCCGCTACAATGTCAAATCCTAAATTAGACTATTATTTTCTTTTGATAATTTGAAGAAATTACGTTTTGAGGTCGTTTTTAAAGGGACTTATTAGGCTTATTTGACATACGCTATGTGGTCGCGGGGCAATCACACCACTGGACTGTACCATTTCCAGACCAATCAGCGACGGGGGTAAACCTAGGTGATGAAAGAGTAATACGGATATTGGGCCTGCATGTATAACACAACAGCAAACATAACAAATCCAAGGAGGTTATAGGGCAAATCTCGATACAAAATATACTATATTTAATTCTACTACCTTTAATTTTGTTGAATAACCTCTGAAAGTATAAATTGGAGGGGGTGTGAAAAATATAGGTCAGTTGTAACTTGATATCTCAAACGGGAGTAAAAATACATTGTACGTTTTCCTGACAACCATTGACATTTCTTGAAAATCTCATCAAACTTTAGACTTCTCTGGGGGCTAGTTAACTCTATATTTTATTATATTTATTATTATATTAAGACTTACCACGTTAGAGGAAGGATTGACATATTAGTAACAGGTGCATTATCTATCAGTATCAACTTTTTTTTAAATCTCCAAGCAGATCTTTTGGTGGGGGTAAGACAGTATCAAATTGGCCAGTCTGTAACCATTTCCACACCCAAGTTACAGACTGGCCAATTTGATACTGCCTTACCCCCACCAAAAGATCTGCTTGGAGATTACTTTTTTTAAACCTCGGAGACCAGACAAACTTTAGGTTTGAACCACTCACACTGGCATATGACTCCAGAACCCCTACTCATCATTTTGACAATTTTTTGAGTCTCATCAAAGGTGGGATCTTCTGCTTGACGTCCCATCCAACATTTGTCCAAATGTCCTATTAACTTATTTCCACCTTAGCCTGACTAATCGCGCTCCTGGCGGCCGGCCGTCCCGAAGTTACCGCCCCCCAAAATGTGAGGGTCATTAACCTCCGGCCGAGAGCTAACACAGGCTAATTTCCACCTGAGTTGTCTGTGATTGAAGAAATGGACGTAAGGTGCATTTCTCATTTAGGACACAACAGTGGGGCCTGCCAGGGATTCGAACCCAGAACCTTCAGATTCTGAGTCAACAACCCTATTAAACCATTTTAAACTGTGTAATTAAATTTTCTAAAACCTGCGTTAGGAAAATCGTCTGTTTCCGAAATAATTCACTTCCCACAATGGTAGTATTTGCCTTTCAGTTTGCCCTCCCAACCAGATCCAGTATTTTCCTCCAAAAGTTTGAAAACCATGAAATTGAATTCACGTGGCCAATGCAGACCCGCAAAACAAGACTAAAGTCATGTGACACATAACGACTGTTTTTTCTGCTTTATTAGTTTATTAATAATACTGCATTAAATCACTTCAAATCACAAATTACCAATCTCACTCCAAAATAGGTTCTGAATCTGTAATATATTGTTGAAGTTTTTAAGCTTGGTCAACACACCAACAAATATATACATAGACATATGCCTTCTATTATAATGTTACATCAAAATAGACATATCATATTTCTATGTCATTATTGCTATGTTGCATCTCTTTGTTGCCCTTATTTATCTGCTTGGAGTCTATATCAGTTATTGTGTTGTTTTTTTTCCTATTCTATTAGGCCACACCGGTTTAATTTTATGGATGACATCCTCTGAAGACCCCCAAACTAGTGCGCGCGGGCGAAAAAAAATAAAAATCCGGCCAAAAATAAAAATGCTACAAAACCACAGGAATACAAACCTGGTATTGTGAATTTGGCGTATTACATAGCGACGTATACGACAGGCCGACACATGCTGGATTTTTGCGGAATATATGAATCGACACTGCTGTACGTATGTACTGAGTTCTTGAGTCTTGGAGCTTCGGTAGCCTGGCTGCCGTCAACCAGAGTTATCACCACCATGCACTACCAAGGCCTAAAGCCAGGCCAGAGCCTCGGAATACGTGATTCTTTTTTTTTTTTTTTGAGATCGGGCGAAAATCAATGCGCGCACGGATGTCATCCATAAAATCAAATCGGTGTGGCCTTATTGCATTTAATGTGCATAAAAAGTAGACACATTTGCCCTTCTACGACCCTACCAATAAGTAGGAGCTAGTTTCAGTATATCACAAAGTCTTCATCAAATGTGACAAAATCAATAATTTCTAAAAGTAATCTGTACAAATGTTTAACCATAATGCAGAAAAATAAAATACATGGAAAATGGCTTTTTTTTTTTGAGGGAGGGTTCTAACACATTGTGATAATACAAAAACACACATAAACAAACAACTTTGACTTCTCAATATTGGTCGATATGGCTTTCCTACAAAAGCAACTTACATAAGCAATTACCTTACACTAGTATCTAGAAAGGATAATTCTTTGGTCTAAATTTCTCACCATTTTTTTATGTTTTATGCTGGCAAATTTCTGTTAGGGATTTGAATTCATATAGAGAGGAAAATTACTAAAAGATCGAAAATTATGATGATATTACATGTACTCTTTGCATCAGATGACAATTGTTATTTAAAATTTTCATTCCAGAAGATATTGAAGTAATATTTGTCCAAATATTGTTAGAAAAATGCAGAAAATCTATCATATTTTTTTCAAAGATATTTTTGAGTTCTACATACTAGTAATGTATGCTTTGCATCATTACGCAACAATCTGTTGATTGTGTCATGTCTTAAAGTCAGAACACAGCACATAAAATAAAATATATAATTTCTAGAAATTCAACAAAACATTGACTAGCAGCAACTTTCCTAATGATATAGCAGTACTAAAAAAAATCACACCAATGCCCCAACAGTAGCCTAGGCACCATCTGGATTTTTGCTACGCAACGCTCAAAAAATCGTGTTGCGTAGCGAAAATCTGGATGGTACCCAGGCTACCCCAACAGTGCACACATGCTGGAGAGGCGACACAATTTGATTTCCTTGGGTGTAAGTACAGCTGTGAATACGTCTAGACCTAACATCTGTGTCCATAATATCACCAGGGTCCATAATATCGCCACCTTGAGAAATAGTGTGCTTAAAGATATTTTTACTGCAACATACCCTAGGTATGTAAATTTGAGGTGTATAGGAGTGCATACCAAAAGTATGTTGCAGTAAAAATATCTTTAAGCACACTATTTCTCAAGGTGGCGATATTATGGACCCTGGTGATATTATGGACACAGATGCTATATGTTCAATAGATATAGAGCAAGTCATGTCAATCTAAAGCAAACTTTCTTGAAAAAACTGGAATAAATCTGTTCTTTGCCAGGATTCTGAGGCGGCTGGAATGAGTAGAAATTGGCTCAGCGCCACAAACTGTACTGCTATAGCCAAATTCTCTTTTCACGTTATCCGTCAATTTGACCAATTTCTACCTTTCCATCCACCTCTGAAGCCTGGTAGAGGCTAGCTTGAATCTGCTCTAAGAGCAATCCAATATTACCCTTTGAGCACTGAGGTACTTTCTTCTCCTGAGTAACTTAGTGTAGATACGGCTTGCTGTGCAGAGAAAATCAGTAAATTATAGTCTATCTGTATCAAAAACACAAGAAAATGCCAGATCCAATCACAGCATAACAAGTTTAGAGACCCCTATAATAGTGTTCTGGTGGCTAATACCGGCAGTATTCAACAGAACAAAGTCTTGCCTAATTTTTCTCAATTAGAACAATTTTCTAAAATGTGTTCTAGTTCAAGAGTTATGGCCAAAAGTGTGTTATGTGTATTATGTGTAAGTAATGCATTTGTATGACAGGAAGCTGGGGAAGCATTTGTACTCTGTGAATATTGCTGGGTAGTGTGATAAAATGTATTCAACTTCTTGTGTAAAACAAAATGACCGGGAGATAGTGTTTCATAGTTTTCATCCTACAATAGTGGTCTTGATAAGAAGTATATCTTGGTCTAGTTTACGTGACATTAACTCATCTTTGATCTTAACCTCAAAGTTTCCTATTTTTATGACTTCACCACTATAGTGCATGAGTCATCAGAATGGCATGTAGAGAAGGCAACCAATAGGCATGCAGCTTTCCTCCATTCTCCTTGCTGATTGGCTGTTCGGATTTGATTGCTTTAACTCAATTAACACCTGTACAAAGCCATGCCATATTGACAGTATGAACTTTATTCCAGTGTTTTGGTAGGTATGTCAAGCTTTCCTGCTCCAGCATTGGAATGTGGGGCATAAACGCTTCTTTTTATCTTGAAAATCAACAGTTTGCATTGTGCAATTAACAGTTGTCACTTCCTACTATAGTTATATCAATGTAAAGAATTGTTTTCCCTTGTATTTCTCCTTCTTTCCCTGCCATGTCGTGAAATGTGGTGAAGTCCAGGACCAGGAAAACAGACTTGTATGTGTTAGTTGTAAGATGCATTGTTTAGTTGGAGAGGTCGCGCAGGTCATCCATGCTGATGCCAGAGTCGGTGCTGCGATCGAAGACGGAGAGTTTGCGGTGCATGGACTGTGTCAGCGGCGGGATGCGGTCACGTGGGATCAGGAACGTGGAGAGGTTGAACAGGTCCAGGAATACCTTGTACCTGTCACTGTAGGGGCGCAAATACAATGTATAAACAATAGGTAATCTATGAAAGTTTATTGCAAAAACATGTACATGCCCGTGGGCTAACTGCGTACAAACAACATGTATCAAAAAGGAAATACAATGATACAGGAGACTTACCAGGTTATACAAAACCTAGTTTAGCTCCTGTGTCCTATATCCTCTCTGCGGAGAGGATGTAGGACTCTGCATGGAGCTAAGGCCACACCAATTTAATTTGTTGGTTCTCGGATTCGCCTCTTCATTTTTTTCTGATTTGCAAAAAAAAAAAAAAAGATTCTGGTTCTGTATCAACTCAAATATGCTCATATTTTGCCCCCAACAGTTGAGGAAAGTCCTTTTCTTCCTAGTTGATACAGTTTTTTTATCTATCAATGCAGTGGTTTGATTTAAAGTTCAAAATTCCTTGATTAAATATTACCCAAGCCTTTTGTGTTGACTTCGTGGCTCCTATCATAGCATTTGGGGCTATAATAGGATGCCTAGACCTGTTTTTATTTTTATTTTTTTTCGCCCTGTCGCTTCATATTTTTTCTGAAAAATCCGAGAACCAACAAATTAAATTGGTATGGCCTAAAATAGGTTTGGTCACCAGGCTAATAAGAGACTACATGACAGTACTTCTCACATTATACTACATTCTACAACATACGTGGTATTAGTTTCTCTGGGTTTGACTTCTTGTTTTGATAGCCTGGAATCCATCTGCAGAGCGGAGGAACGGAGCGGAGATAAAGCGTTCACGGATGGATTCCAGGCTATTGTTTTGAGACAGTGGAAGACGAATTTACCCACTTCTTCTATAATATGAGGGTTCTTGTCACACGTCATTACCGATATGTATTTACATCTGGCTATTCAAGTCCATTGAGATAGAGTTTATATTTCACATGTTTGATCATTGAATAAACATATATCTAAGTTTAAAGATGTAGAAAAGTATCAAAAGTGCAGTGATTCAAATTTCTCCTTCTTTATTAAATTTTCATAATTTATCATATTAATGATGATGTAGCATTTCCATGGATGAGAACTTACCTAACAGTGGAGCGGAGGTAGTGGTAACCAGAGGACCCGCCTGTCCCCACCTTACTACCCAGCATCCTCTGCACCATGGTCACATGATTATCTGAGGTAGCAACAGAAGGGGGGGTGGTGAGTTGCAGAATGATTCAACATAATATTACAGAACACTCAGAGATGGTAGAATTCTTTCTTTACAGTTACAAGCAACAAAATTTAACTAATGATTCTTTTGAAACATTTTCGGACTGTTCTACTTAACTTTATCTGAGAAGATTACCTGTTAAGGATAGTGATGCATACCTAAACCCAATTTTAGGTTCAGGTCCGGATTCATGTCCAGAGGTTTAGGTTCAGTTCCGGACTTGTAAGTCCGGACCTAAACCCATGGCATATACAAAATTGCATGTTGGCAACCTTGCAATGTTGTCTGGGTGAAACTTTGGCCACATAACATGGAGGCCGACACTTGACGATGCAATGTTTTCTTCGTTTTGCAGCAAAGATTTTGCAATCTACGGAAGGTTTTAGGTGGTTTGGAAAGAAAAGGGGTATGTGAAATGGTCTTTTATGGTAATAAGTCCGGACTCGGTTCTTGACTTTTAGGTTTTTTTTTTACTTGAACCTAAACATTCTTACAAGTCCGGATCCAAGTCCAGTGAACCGGTATGCATCACTAGTGAAGGATCAGGAAAGTTAGAAAATACAATATCCTCACACCGTATCCTACATGTACATGTATATCTGATGAAACATTACAAACAGTCAATACAGGTTTTAGCTGATCATAATTCAGAAAAAAAGAGACCTGGAACACAAGGCTTTCTAAAGATGTTCTTTATCAACTTTGGACATACAAAGTACAGCGGGTCACGTAAGGGCAAACGTGTTTCTAGACCAGGACAGTCAACATAACCTTTCATCACACTTACATTTTGTAACCACAAATGGCTTAAAGACAGTGATAATTATGATTTTGAATTAATAATGTCTAGACATGTTTATAATATAATATTTTAATGCATGTACATGTAAGTATTCTTAATAATCCTTTTTTGTCTAGACTCCTCTCAAAAGTTGCATAAACACATATTGTAAATTCTTTGGACTTTGATTCCAGACACAATTTATCCCCATGCTGAACTGTAACTACATTTTCCCTGTAATAAAAAAAAAAAAGACTTTAAAAAATTGCTTAAAGTTCAAGTAACTTTCATTGACAAAAACTATTAGGCAAAATGTGAAAAAAAATGAAAGGTAAGTTGTCTGATGGTATGCTAATTGTTTCAACCCAGATTTATGGACAGCAAGGTGAAAGCGTGATGGAAATTTCCATTGTCCAGAGGGTCTGGAGGGGAATTTCAACAATAATTACACAAATTTATGTTATTCTCTCCAATTATCCCATTTCATATGTTTTGCTATTCCATTTCATATGTTTTGCTATTCGCCTTTTGGGGGGAACAAATCATGACATATTCTAAAAATATTTCCTTACAACTAAGTTACCTTTAAAACCCCCATGCATAGCTTTTCCAACCCAGTAATAACCAGGTTAAGAAACCAGACCTTTTGTTCTCCCTGGGGACCGACCAGTAATACTATGGGGATGAACATCATTTAAAACACAGAATTAAGATATCAGAGACTTTTCACACTTGAAGTCAGGCTCTTGCCCATATCTGCAACTGATCCTTGTCAATAAATAGCCCTACAAGTGTGCAAAAAAGTTTTTTTGTAAAAACAATGATGAGAATTGGGGGCTTTTATAAGTCACACCTGAGGCATGCAAAGAAGGCATGCCTCACCTGGTAAGACTCTAGGACGCTATGGCACTGTGAATATTAACAAAAGAAATACTAGCAGTTTGACATTTCTTTTAACTTTTCCAACTCAAACACTTCAGACATCCAGGTGTTCAAGACATTCTGGTCTTGATAACATTTTTGGCTTTTGTCCATCAAAGTCGACTCTTACATTGTATGTCGTTACGTTTTGTACACTCAAGCAGTGCATGATGGAAATTTCCACAGGACAATCTGGTTCTCTCAACTGGCTGATCCAATTAGACCATCTCCAATGATCAGGAAGCATGCATGTAACTACCCTTCAGCATTCAAAAAACTCATTACAATTCTGCAACATTGTACACATAATATTCAATGCCAAAATATTTGTAGCAGCTGCATTAATAGTGAAAATAAAATTGAAATGTGAACTTAAAGCCAAAATACTTGTACTCATCCGTCACAATGTAACAAGTGACTTGAACATAAAGAGATTACTACTACCGGTATGCTGTGCCAGTTGACGCGTTTTGCTTGAGGCTATTTAAAGGTATGTGACCTAAAAATTCTTGAGTAAGTTGAGCTACAAATGAACTATAATCCAAGGTATTTCAAACTCTACTACTGGATGAATTACGGAGATTACTCTGTAATTCCCTAAGTCATCTCTGTAATCTATCCAGTTTTACTGAATTACCTATTGTAACCTCGATATCGAACCTTCATCAATGTACAGATGACCGACATGAGCACGTCGGCAGAACGTACTGCGCCTGCACAGAACCCTGTATTTTTACGCATTTCGGTGGATTTCTGGTCAACGTTGCATTAGAATTTTGCCTGTTGTAGAGGATATCTTTTCCGACATAACATTTGGAACCTACAGACGAGATGTTAACCTTATATGCGCGAATATGACCTTAAATGAGACATTCTACCGAAGTGCTATGTACAATACATTACAGATTACGCGCAGGTGCAGTACGTTCTGCCGACGTGCTACCTACATGTATGTTGTACATGTACATTTGTACAAACTATCCTCTGCAAAGGAATTTTTACAGAGTTTTGACAGTTAATTTACGGACAGGATACATGGCTAAAAACACACAACTGCAACCTGCAATTTGCAGTCTGAAAAGTGCCTTTTTTTCAAATTGCAAGAAATACAAAGTTGCAAAAAAATACTTGCTACTTTACAAGATACAGGAATATGGGCCCAATCATCTAGTGCAGAACACGGGTGGAAATAAATCAGTGTCATTTCAAAAACTTCACGAAATGTATCCATTAAAATGCAGGAAATAGTGTCAATTTGCTTCAAATTGATGTTTCTCGTGATCTTTCAAACTTGTGCTCTGCCTCCCTCTTCCAGGACATTTAGACAAACAAACAAGTAACGAAACAAACAAACAAACAAACTCACATCTCCACTTGGTGAGGAGGGAGTCGATGTCCATGAGTTGGGTGAGCAGCTGGAAGGGCTGATGAAACCGAGGCTCATCTCTGTAGATACAGACAGGAACAACAACAAACTATTACAGATACAGGTAGAGCTGTGTACCTAAACAAATTTTAGGTACAGGTACAGGTACACAGGTTTAGGTACAGGTCCGGACCTGAACCTGTACCTGAACAATTCGACCAATTTATATGCTCTTCTGAACTCCTTCAATAACAAAAAAAAACAAACAAACTTGATAGTTAAGGTTTATTCTTTGTTTATGGCGAATGCTCAGATAAAATATAGGCAAAACTAAGGTGTTATTGTTTTCATGAACACACTGTCCTTACACAGGGACCCATTGTTAACCAGCTATTTACACATTTGAGGTCACAAATAGGCATAAAATTGGTGTGAAATTGTTTAGGTACAGTACCGGTACTGAGGGATTAGGTATTTTGGACCTGTACCTAATCAATTTTTCCGGTACAGTATCGGTACTGCGTACCGGTACACAGCTCTAGATACAGGTTTTAAACAAATTCTGCTGTGTAAAATTCTATTCTAGGCCACTATTCATTTCTTTACTGTCCTGTATTTTTTCACCCTTTGTTTTTCAAGGCTACTGCATTTCGAAAGCCTGGAAGGAGCAAACAGTGATTTTAAATTCATTTTGACTGTTTACCATACAAAAATCTTATCAATGCCTTTTTAAATTGATTATTTCATTATGGTGGAAAAAACAACTTTCAAATAAAAAGTCAGCTGCACCTGTACAAGGAAATCATCATGGCTCCCTGCAAGGCCTTGTGGGTAAACTTCCTGTCTCCTACAGGATCAAAAAACATGACTTGTCATTGCACTCACATCTGAAGAACAAACACTAATATTTATTATGAAAGCATAATTGTACAAATGTATCAATGATAATGTTCCCATAAGCTAGCAAGCTATAATTATTGCTCTTCCCAATCAGTTTTCACAGTCTTTGGCACATACATTGTACTTCCTGTGTATGATGATAAAGTTTTGTGCAACATATGAAAGTAAGGACAATGTAAATTGCCTCATCAATAATTCTGAATCGGAATAAACTCAAACTCAAACCCTACACAGAATGACCTCTACCCATTGTCTTAAAGAGACCCCTACGTCTAGAAGTAGTGTAACCTCTAAAACTTACCTCGTGCCACCAAAATGTTGTGTTTGTCCTCATCAAAGATGGACTCAAAGGCATCCTGCAGTATAACAACAATATATATATATTCTAGGCATTCAAAGAACAACTGTCATATTTTTTATTCTAAAGCTCTCAACATCTGGATATGAATCCCTATTCCAAAAATGCTCATTGTAATCTACATTGAAATTTGCCACATGTACTTTACTTTCAATACTGTCCTAAAAGCTCTACAGAAAAAGTTGACTTTAGTTTCTAAATTGTGAAGAAACGTCTCACTGAATTTTTTTTTTTTCAATATTAGTCAATAGGTTCTTTATTCTAAGTAAAACTGTAAAGCTTTGTCACCTTCTGCTTTTTGTACTGAGTCATCTTGTCTTCTTTGAAAATAGGGTCCTCTTCACTCTGCAGACACATGCATGTGTTAAGAGAGACACCTAGTGGTCCTACATGGTAGTGCAGTTTAACATACATTGTAGATCCAACCACCTGTTAATGGTAATTCTTTTTGCAAGTCATGGTTAGTAAGAGAATATCAAAATGCAGTTGTTAAGAGTTAACAGGAAATGCATTTGGTTAACTGTCAGTTTGCATGGGGTGACACTAATTCATTTTCTTGTCTCCAACATTTTTCAAAGCAAAAAATAAGCATCCTGTCATTGATTTTTTGCCCAACAAAATTACATGTTTCATCTTAGTCTGCAGCCTAGTTTGACCCTTAGAAGAGCAACGTACTGTGCCTGCGCAATACCCTGATTTTTCGCGATTTTTGTAGAAAGTTTGGTCACCGTTGCATCAGAATTACACCTGTTGCAGAGGATATCTTTTCCGACATAACATTTGGAAACTACAGACGGGATGTTAACCTTATATGCGCAAATACGACCTTATATGAGACGTTCTGCCGAAGTGCAGTGCACAATACATTATGGGTTTGTGCAGGTGCAGTACGTTCTGACGATGTGCTCCTAAGGCCACACCAATTTAATTTCTTGGTTAACGGATTCGCCGCTTCATTTTTTTCTGATTTGCAAATAAAAATAACAATTCAGAAACAACTGCAAAATGCTCATATTTTGCCCTGAACAGTTGAAAACAGTCCTTTTCTTACTACTTCTTGCAGTCATTCCATATTTCAAAGTTCAAAATTCATTGTTTAAATTTTGAACCAGCCTGGTATGTTGACTTCATGGCTCCTATTGTACCATTTTGATGCCTAGGCCTGTTTTTATTTTTTTCGCCCGCCCGCTCCATTATTTTTCTAGAAAAATCCGTAAACCAAGAAATTAAATTGGTGTGGCCTAAGAAGTAAAAAATATAACCTCTGCCGTTTGAACTTACATCTGCCTCCTGAAGTTCGTCTGCCAGCATGTCCATGACACTGGCCTTGAACTTGCCCCAGAAGTTGAAGCCGTCCTCCTCCAGGCCAGGCGTTCTCTCTAGCCATCTCTGAGGAGTAAGAAAAATCCAAGATGTAAGCTGCTGATTTTTTCACTATGCTAGAAAGTTAAGGTCCCACAAACTTTTAAAAATTCACAGTAATTGGACTCTATCAGTGATGATTATCTTTGGAAAATAGTTTCATCAGGTTGATACATGTATACCAGAGTTTTCTTTTACACAACCAAGATACTTTACCTTGCTGACTTTTCAGACATTTCTGATGGGATCATGTTCTGGCAGCAAAAGTGCCACCTACATGTACATCGGCTACATATAGCAGTGCGTAGCAGAACTCCTGTCAGAACAGTGGTCGAAATACTTTTTTTCAGTGCTCTGCAATATTGCAGAAGAGTCAAAATTTTGTTCTGCAATTTGGAAAACTTTCTGCAAAAACATACTGAAACATATTAATAAAAGACAAAAAAAAACAGTTACTCAAGTAGCTGTATATAATTTTGGTGCTACCTAAAACGGTCAGACTACTACCTTTCATCAGTGACACTAAGAGACTGAAGGAGAACTGCAGGTTTATAAGCAAAAAGTATTGATTGATATGCAAATTAGTGAAGACAAATTTTTGGAAGTCCAAAGGGAAACAAAAGATAGACAAGTCAAGACACGGATGATGCAAATTAGTGAAGAAGCTCCTGTTGTTTCAGAACAGGAGCTCAAGTGTTGTCTGTCCTTGATAGGACCTGAGAGTGCTACTTTGCTAAATTGAAAACTATTGAATCTGGAGAATATTTTTCCTTCTGCAAAATTGCAGATTGTATAAATTTTTCTTCTGCAATCTTGAAAATCTATCTGCAGATTGCAGACTGCAGACAGGTATTTCGAACACTGCAGAAGCTCTGAGGAAAGTGTCTGATAGACACCAAAATGTCAGCAAGGTAAACTATCTTGGTCGTGTAAAAGAAAACTCCTGTATATTAAGTAATTATAATTAATATCAATGTCTTTTTGACTCTTACCTCTACTAGGGACATGAGAGAATCCTCATTCTCTGAGTCTTCCAACATCTGGACATAGTGAGGATGGGTCTTAAACACCTCCGCATAGTGCTTCTGGTTATAACGAACTCTGTGCTCCTGGGGGGAGGGGGGCACAGCATGGTTAGAGTTAGGAGTACATTGTTTGCAGTGTCGTATGTTTACATGAAAGTATAAAACGTACACTTAGGCCACACCAATTTAATTTCTTGAACAGATCGATTTTTCTAGAAAAATAACGGAGCGGGCGGGCGAAAAAAAATAAAAATAAAAACAGGCCTAGGCATTGTATTATGGCCCAAAATAGTACGATACGAGCCATGGAGTCAACACACCAGGCTGGTTCAAAATTTAAACAATGAATTTTGAACTTTTAATGATACCACTGCATTGAAAGATGGAATAACTGTAACAACCAGGATGAAAAGGACTGTTTCCAACTGTTCAGGGCAAAATATGAGCATTATGCAGTTGATTCTGAATTTTTATTTTTATTTGCAAATCAGAAAAAAATGAAGCGGGCGAATCCGTTAACCAAGAAATTAAATTGGTGTGGCCTAATTGTGAAATTTATTTTTTTTACTCAAATACACACTGTTGACAATTTTAAAATCTGATGACCTTCTGATATCAACAAATTTCGCCAATCAAAGTCGTCATCAGTGTGACACCAGTTTAACAGAAACTGGCATTTATGTGTGTGGACTTGGGTCCACTGAAACAGACAAAAACTGTAACCTGTAACTGAGTAAAGAAAGGGAAAGATCAAGAAAGCTTTATTTAATTTAAAGTGAAGAAATTTGGAGGTACATATACATACATGTATGTGAAAATTCTTTGAACTTTTGAAGTGAAGAGAACTCAGGGGTTCGAAATAGATTTTGGGGTCAACTTGCACTGGTGAAGATGAAAAAAAAATACTTGCACCAGAAGAAAAATAGTTGCACCCCCAAAAAATAATAGGTATGCAACCAAAAGTACATGTAGTAACTTAAATAGCATCCAATATTTGCTTATACTACTACCCTACTAAAGCGACATAGATATATAGTAACCTTCTGTTAATTACAAAAATAAGAAAAACTTCATGGATTCTGGTTTTGTTGAAATTTTTTCCCTTTCGAGTTCTTTATTGGGTATTTCTACAGGTTGCAACAGTGGATAAAACAAACTTGCACCGCCGTGCATCCCGGCAAAAAATTAGTTGCACGACACCAAATTTACTTGCACCAAGTTGCACACAGAGGGGTATTTTGACCCCTGTGAACTAAATGTATCTCACCTGCTTGAGTCCCAGTTTATTCTCCAAGAGTCGGAACTGAAGACTCTGGAAACCTGAGGCTGGGGCCAGGTAACCTCTACATAAAAAAAAACAATCATTTCACAATTATTCATTAATCTATCTATCTATCTGATCTTTATTTATCAATCTTAGCTGCATATGGGTAGTCCTTTTAGTCAAATAGGGCTGGTTTCCAAGGGAGCCCAGGACTGGGCAACAGAATACAAATATCAAGAATAAAATCATCCTCTTTTGCATCTTCATTTATACATGTACCACGACGGTCGTGTTACAACGATTTGGAACAAGCTTGATGCAGATACTAGAGGGTTAGGAATTAGGGCTTCCATCCTAACTGATGTGGTCGCCTTTAAAAGGAAACTCTCCTCATTTATGTACAACAGATTTCGTCAAACCTACAGTTTAGAGCAACCCTGTACGTGGCAGTTATCTTGTGGTTGCGCTACTTGTCTGGCAACAAGAAAGGCGCTAACTGTGATATCACTGCTGGCTATACAACTGTCGTTATTTGTTGTCTCGAATCAATAGCTCTCACAATGTTAATAAGTTGACTTGCCTTGTAGTTTATTCATTTGTTTCTCAAATTGTATTATGTGATTTGATTACTTTTTCTATTGTTTTGTCATTTTATTGGTATGGCGGCTTTGAAAAGGTGTTTCATGTCAGAAACACCTGTTTCACCATGCCATCCACAGTGCATATTGTATGTGGTAAAACTTATATATAATAAATAAATAAATAAACATCAGTTTCAGTATATCCAAAAGTAAAGCCAGTTTTGTCTCACCTGAAGTCAGCGAAGTCAAGTGGAGTCATGGTTTCCAGTATCATCACCTGGTCCACAAGCAGCTGGAAGAAAAAAAAAAGGTACAGAAATGCATCAGTCAGTGTACACATGTGTGAATGAAAATGCAGAAAATATATAGGGAGTTCACAATTAGAACTGCACAATTCATCCCCAAAATTTAGGGGGAAAAAAACTTAAATGACTCCTGCACCTACCTTGAGAATCTGGTTCACCCTGTTAAGACGAGACAAGATGAGCAGTGTCTTCCCCTCATCAAGTGTCTTTGAAGAAAAGATAAAGAATAGATTAAAGCTTTATTACAGTAAAATCCAAATCTAATTCATGTATCAAGTTACATGTTACAAGTTATATGCGGAGTTAGAAAGTGCCTGGAGTACATAGCATGGCCCAAGGGCTATAGAAAGACGAGCACTGTTCTTTACACTGAAGAAAGTGTGGTAAGGATTTCAACCTAACTTTGAATGACTTTTCAGTTTTAAAAAAGATTGCATTTAATACTGTTGCAGCCATAGTATGGCTGAATTGGGGTACTATGATTTGCGACAAACAAAATCAGTCATACTAGAGACTTAGACATGCATGTATATCAGGGATATTTAACATTGCTTAAACTCAACAGGCCTCAAATCAACAACACTAAAAAAAAGACAGTAAGGTACACTTAGAGCAGCAACACAGTTCAAGATGCAGCGAAGATGTACAGCAATGCAGCATTAATTACAAAAAAGTATATAAAACTGATTGGAGAGACATTACAGAAATTAACAAACCATCAAAATTCAGTAACAGTAACTGAAGCAAAATGGCATAGCACTGCTTTAAATTAAACTTTGATGTATCAGGACTCGAAATACTGTGTGCACCTGCACCTTAGTGCACCCAAAATTGGAGCTGTGCACCCAATGTTTTTCTGTGGGTGCACTGGTACACCCAAATATTTCAAAATTTGTAGGTATTCTTTTCACATCAAATGTATAATAGTATACAAGGTATTCTTGGCATCTAAGTGTCAGAAAAATAATAAAATTCAAAGTTTAAGCTCAGAAGAAGAGAAGTAAGATCTGAAATTAGGTTTTGTTTTGTATGGTGCAAGTAAGTTATATGGTTCACCAAAAATATTGTGTGCACCTGATTTTTAAGGTTAGGTGCACCAGTGCACCTATTCCCAAAAATATATTTCGAGCCCTGTGTATGTATGTTGATTTTCGAGCCCTGTGTATGTATGTTGATGTTCGGTAGCAGAATTAATATTTGTGATATGATCCTTGGGCTAAGCAGCTGGGAGGCCAGGATGCCACATAAGGCAAGCATATTCAAGTAGAGGTCATCCACAGAAAACAAGAGTTCAGTAAATGAGATTAACTCCATGTTTCCTTAAGTTTAGTATTTGTATTGTGTACAATTTTATGCTGCATCCATGATGTCTCTGAAGTGACAAGTTTCGGGATAGTTAAAAAACTTAAATGTTTCAAGTGTCACAGGTAACAGACTGGATGAACTTCCAGGATACAGAACAAGTCACGTTTACAGGTTACCATGGATAAAGGTACCCATGGATACAGCATATATTATTTAAAATGAAACGAGAACAAGCAACCATGGACAGAGGTTACCATGGATATAGAACAGGTACCATGGATACAGCATATATTATTTAAAATGAAACGAGAACAAGCAACCATGGACAGAGGTTACCATGGTACCATGGATATAGAACAGGTACCATGGATACAGAACAGGCACCATGGATACAAAATAGGCACCATGGATACAGGACAGGTACCATGGATACAGGTCAAGTCTCCATGGACACAGGTTACCATGGATACAGAACAGGTACCATGGATACAGAACAAGTCTCCATGGACACAGGTTACCATGGATACAGAACAGGTTACAATGTACACATATTATACAGAAAAGGTCACCATGGATACAGATTACCACGGGTGCAGAACAGGTTACCATGGATACAGAACAAGTTGCCATGGATACAGAACAGGTCACCAAGGATACCCCAGAACCAGATGAAAACTTCCCCTGTACTCACTCTACAAGCCACACAACCAATGTTAGACTTCAAAATGTTTTTGAAGAAAATTTTCTTTCACATTCTGTCAACTGTTTTAATGTCAGGCCTGAGTGTGAAACAAATGATACATGAACTTCAAAATCAGTCAGTATACTGGTAGGCTGGTCATGCCCGTAGCCAGGGGGGGTTTGGAAGAACCCCCCCACAAGGCTCAAAGGTCCACTTTTTGGTCCACTTTTTATGTTAAGGTCCACTTTTTGGTCCACTTTATGTAAAGGTCCAAGATGTTTCTTGAAAAGATGGACTGGAATCGTAGAAAAACTGTTCCCTTTGTCATTGAATAAAAATTTATCTCTGATTTTTTCTCGGAAATCCTCTCAAAAATGTACGAAATGCCATTTTAGAAGGTTCATTTTTCAAAATTTCCCGTGGGAGCATGCCCCCGGACCCTACGGCGCTCGAGGTCCCCTAAAGCAGTGGGAAGAACCCCCCCGTTCAAAATCCTGGCTACGGGCATGCTGGTGTGTTCTACAAGCCAAATCATTCAGTTTGAGAACTGGTTGAGTGGTTACAATGGAAGATTTCATCTGAATCCTTGGCAGCAGACTGTTACCCAGACTGGAACATACCGTGGCCCCCAGTGTTGCACCCTTGCCCTGAAATAGACATATAGACAGTGCAGCATGCACACAGCTACTTCTGTGGCAAGTTTACATGATTCTGATTCGGTATATGATTCTGATTTTTCCTCATGCACTGGTTGGAAAATTTCTTCTGTTTGAGTAATCATGCACTTTAACTTTTAATTACACAGTTATTATATTACAGGAATTATGAGATTTATGAGTTTGTTGTTACTATAAAATCATGACAAAATCTCAACTTCAGACAAAGCAGTCAGAGACATTTGCTCTCCCAAACAGTTCTGGGGGCCCGCAAGCCCTTTTCCGTAGAGCGTAATCGGCCATTTTAATTCTACGTAGAGTGTAGACGGACCGCTCTAATATTTTTGCGTAGAGTGTATTCGGCGTTTTAATTCTTCATAATGCGTTGTAGCCACTCTAGAGCGTTGTCGGGACCCCCCCCCCTTGCAGGCCCTCAGTTATTTCATAAGATTTCAAGACATTCCACTGTCTTTTGTCTGAAACAAAAGTTGAGATTTTGTTATGACTTAAGTATATTTCATAATATTATCTTTTCTGGTTTAACTTAAATGTCACAAGTACGATTATCATGATAGTATTTGTGGAAAAGAAGGATTTTACAATATTTTTCTTTGATACAACTGTTATAAATGCCCTCTACAGTACATGATTTTAGGGGAAATTCTTCCAGCTTTAGAGCTACCGTGCACAAGGACAGCTTATTTTTGTGTGAAATGAGACAAACTTTAAACCAGAAAAGAGAGTTTCCTGCCATAAGAAGTCATTTTTCATCATTCTGACCAATCAAAGGCCTTGTACATGTAGACTATCCCTACTCTCCAAGCAGAGGTTTGGGTTTTGGGGGTATTTTTAGCGTGTTTTTAGGCTTTTTTATCGGGGTTTCTCTTTTGCACTGAATTTTTTTTCCCACCAAACCCAACCTCTGCCGGCAGTCGAAAACTTCAATGGGCTATAAACCTAATCATTTCAACACATTTCAGTCGTTCTGCAAGGAGGTGTGAACCAGACGCATGAATAGGCACAGTCAGCAGGAGGCGTGTGGCCCAATGAATGCCTTTCCGACTGCCTAGAAGTGTGATAATCCACCACAATAAAATGGATATCCCTAATGACAGTTTGATGGTTCCCGGGGAGGGGCACTATCGCCTGTTTTGAATAGGTTTGCCCCTCCCCGAGGTGAGTGCCGGCAGAGGTTGGGTTTGGTGGGGAAAAAAATTCAATGCAAAAGAGAAACCCCGATAAAAAAAGCCTACAAACACGCTAAAAATACCCCCAAAACCCAAACCTCTGCTTGGAGAGTAGACTATCTCATGTATTACATGAATTTGACCAATCAGAAACCTTCATTCAAGGTACACAATATTGCAGACCGACCAATCACAGACAGTCAGTAAATTCTAATTAGTGCTCATTGGTTATACTCTCAATAAAATTATCCCACATAATTGTGGATGAGCCAATCACAATGACAGACCTTGTCTCCAACTTGACTGATCACAAACATGCAATAGATCTTAATTGTATTGCAATAACTATTACCAGCCATATTATTTTATTAGGTCACACCAAGTAAATTTTATGGATGATGTCCGCGCGCGCATTGATTTTGGCCTGTTCCTAGAAAAAAAAACAAGAAATTCCGCTTCCTGTAACTATGACCAAAGAGTGACGACAGTGCCGCAATTTTATGCTTTGTTTCTACAGGCCTGCAAAAATGTGATGAAAGAAACAGGACAGGACGACAACTGCTGTTCCACCTGATTTATTGCTGTTTTGATGATGAATAAAAGACTTCTTGCTTGTTACACTGTGTCACCTCATTCAATTGTGTCCTAACATTTGTCGTCTCTTAGTAACTATATTTCTAATCTAGGCATCTTGTTTTTAGGGCCCTTCTTGTTTGTTTTTTTCGCCCTCTCGCATTAGATTTAGGGTCTCCAAAGGACATCATCCATAAAATTTACTTGGTGTGGCCTTAAGTAAGAATCATGTCCCATTGATTAAGTCAGATTGTTGATAATTAGAAAGTTTTTATGAAGAAATAAATAGGATCTTCAGAAGTCATTATTGAAAGAGGAAGAAATCAATCTTTAGTTGCACACTAACAGATTTGAATTGATGGTGAAGGAAAAAGAAAGACTTCATTGTGTGTATGATTGGTGCTGTAGATTACAGTTAGGAACAGTACAATACTTACAACATTGTTGAAGATGTTTCTGATGGAGTCAATTTCCCACAGGATCTGTTTGAACCACAGCTCATAGGCTGGAACAACATCAGAAAACACAATACCTTACACATTGCAGCTGTGTTTGAAAGGCTTACAGAGTTTGTTATCACCTAACTTACTTAATATTGGTAAATTCTAGAGAACAAAATTCAACCCACAAGCTGAAAAAGACCACATTAGTCAGCATCTTCAGCGTGCAAAATACTTGGTTACCCAGTTGCCCCGGGCAACCAAGTTTTACTTGGGGCAACCTATTTTTGAACCTAGGTAGCCAAGTGTGCTACATGTACCTGAATTTTAAGAATGCCCTCACCCAAAATCATGCCCACTTGGCTTGCACCACTGTATCTGGCAGATGCTTTTTAATTTTAGGTATTAATGGCTATTACTAGTATCAGTTAACTAAAGGCTGTGAGAAATATTGGCAAAGACAAAATTATGTATGTAACATTACTTAATTTGAGGAAAGTGGTAATTTATAGGTGGGGTAACCTAAAATTCTGATGGGCAACCTAATTTTTGCCGTAGGTTCTCCACTGGGCAACCTGGTTCAAAAAAGTATTTTGTACACTGATCTTCCACAAAGACACTTACTCACTTAGCCTACCATAATTTTTCTGTTACCTCCAACACCACATACGTATACTGTCAGAAATCTTTCTTGTAATCTGGAAATACTTCCAGCAATGCAAACTTTAGTGCATATCATTCACACCTTTGATTACCGATCTGCCCCCCAAGAACATTTGTGATTTCATTTTGGAGATTGACCAATCAAATTGCTTGAATGTTAAGACATGATTGACAGGAGCTGATGACCTGACCCACCCTGGTGTGTGACGATGAAGAGATGCTCGTCGTGGGCGGGGTCACCGTGTACCTCACTCTGCAGACACTGCGCAGTCAGGACCTGATCCAACTGGAACCAACAATAAAGGGTTAATGTCCCGCCCCAAGGTGTATATGGTGAGATAATCCCTGGTCAGGTGTAATAACCACCAAATAAACCACCAAGTGAGCGGAGCGACAAGTCTTAACACTACTGTTAGTGCCCTGTCCCCTGTATAATGTTACGGTCCAAAAAGTGGTTGGTTATTCTAATAACCAACCACTTTTTAGATTACGGCCTGGCAATCAATGGCAAATGGAGCCTTCTGATTGGTCGATGCTTTCTGGCCATATGATAATTACAGTTAAACCTGTACCTCTAGAAAATGACCACCTGGCCAATCTGACCACTTTTTCCTGGTCCCTTGGGATAAATTTTTCCCACTGACACAAGCATAGTGGTGCATACCGGTTCACTGGACTTGGATCCGAACTTGTAAGAATGTTTAGGTTCAAGTCCAACAAACCTAAAAGTCAAGAACCGAGTCCGGACTTATTACCATAAAAGACCATTTCACATACCCCTTTTCTTTCCAAACCACCTAAAACCTTCCATAGATTGCAAAATCTTTGCTGCAAAATGAAGAAAACATTGCCATCGGGCATCATCAAGTACCGGCCTCCATGTTATGTGGCCAAAGTTTCACCCAGACAACATAGCAAGGTTGCCAACATGCAATTTTGTATATGCCATGGGTTTAGGTCCGGACTTACAAGTCCAGAACTGAACCTAAACCTCTGGACTTGAATCCAGACCTGAACCTTAAATTGGGTTTAGGTATGCACCACTACACAAGCATATTAAAGAATCCCTATATATGCAGTGATCATCAGTCCAGAGTAATAATCTGATGTTCAGATTTTCTCAGTTCCCTGAGTGGTCATTTATTTTTATTTTTATTTTATTTTCAGTCATCTTTATACAGGGTGGCCCATTAAGTGATTACACTTCTTATATAATGGGGCCCTGTTTTACAAACAAAACACAACAGTCATATACAAACAGTAAAATAGGGATACAATAAATAATGATAATGGCAATAATAATAAAGGAAAGACAGTAAGTTACCAATAACATTAATAAATAATGATAATAACAGAAAGTACAAATTGTCCAGTTAAGTCATTGTCCAGTCCAAATTGTTTGTATGGAGGGGTCAGAGGAGCGGTTTTGATATACATGTACCTTGTATCTTTTCTAGACAAAAAGTCTTCTTTTCACTCAGGTGAAAATGAGTACCTAGCTTCGGTTAGGGGCGTGTCTTATCGAATGGGACGTTAAAATGGAGGTGTTTGAGGAGAGACACACCTCAAGCACGTTAAAGAACCAACGTGAGCGGAAGTGGAACAAACCATTATGGTCTAAAAAGGGTAGGGAATTTTCCCGACCAGCCTCGTAACCCCTGCTTCTATTGGGTCAGTTAGTCCTCACTACTTGTGAGGATGTTTCTGACTCAGGGAGAAGAGTTGCTGTTACAGCTCTATCTATCTAAAAAAAAAATGCTAGAGTAGTGAACTTACCGAAAAAAAAGCTTACAGCACAAAATATTGGCTTTCATGACACAACAATAGCAGGATTGCTTTAAAGTTTGCATTCTTGATGCTTCCTTGAACTATTTACAAACTGACCTGGTCTTTTATAACCCACTGCAAGGTGTTTACCATGATGATAACCTGGCCAGTAACCTATAACCACCAAATAAACCATCTTGTTTGCTTCACTTATTACTCTGGTTTATTTGTTGGTTATATGTGTACATGTAAACAGGCCAGGTGTTACATTGTATGTCACTGTAGACAAAAAGAGAACAGCGTGCAAAATACCTGGTTGCCCAGTTGCCCCGGGCAACCAAATTTTACTTGGGGCAAGCTTGGGGCAACCTATTTTTGAACCCAGGTAGCCCAGTGTGCTACCTGAATTTTAAGAATGCCTCCCCCCCTATATCATGCCCACTTGGCTTGCACGCCACCACTGTATCTGGTAGATGCTTTTTAATTTTAGGTATTTAAATGGCTATTACTAGTATCAGTTAACTATAGGCTATTAGAAATATTGTCAAAGGCTTATGTATGTAACATTTCTTAATTTGAGGAAAGTAGTAACTTATAGGTGGGGCAACCTAAAATTCTGATGGGCAACCTAATTTTTGCTGTAGGTTGCCCACTGGGCAACTTGATTCCACAACATATTTTGTACACTAGAGAAGCAGGTCATTTATTGATTTCAATGTGATGACACATAATGAAAATAAATAAATCCAGACCTTTAGGTAGGTGGTATAGTCCAGACCTCCATGGTTCAGCATGTTCTTTCCCTCCTGATGTGCCAAACAACCTCCCATCTGCATCTCTGCACTGCAACACAACAATCCAAACATCAGTGAATAGTTTCATCAGGTTGGTAAGTTACTGAGTAAAGAAACTATTTTCATACAAACAAAGTCTTTTATTCACAGTCAATGTCTCGGTGACCGTCTGTCACCTTCCTCAGGGCAAGTCTGACTGGTTCACATTGCACTGCAGCACAGGTGCCCTGAGGAAGGTGACAGACGGTCACTGAAACATCGGCTGTGAATGAAATACTTGGATGTGTAAAAAGAGTCTCTTTACTCTCTCAACAATCCAAAACACTCACTCACTCACTGTCTGGTTTATCGTCTGTTGTTCCCCGTCTTTCGAGGGTTAGATGTCCTTGCACAATACATCTGGGGCTTGATGGCAGCACGCCACTTGTCTCTGTCCTGGGTTGATCTTATCTAAGTTCAGGTGGTGGAGGTCCTCCCGTATGTTGTCAAACCATTTCCTCCTAGGGCGGCCACGGGGGTTTGGACCCTCCACATCTAGTGTGAGGATCCTCTTCGGCCATTTGTCCCTGTCCATTCTCTGGAGGTGGCCATACCATCTAAGTCTGTTATATCTAACTGTGTCCTGGATGTTATGGACTCCAAGCCGCATACGTAGCAAACATTACACAATATGAAGTTCCTTTCACATGAACACAATGTACAATACATTCTACATGATGCCACAACAGAAGATGGGGACATTATTGTACATTTGTAGGTAAATATGTTAACTTTCAGCAAGCTAACATCACCATTTTGAAACAAATTTGTACTATTGGGCATGGGTTAGGCAGCAGTAAGGTTAAGAAATCAATGTTTAGGTGTTAGAAACTACAAATGTATATTGTAAAGAGTATTTTCAAATTACAATATGAGGCATGGTATGATAGATAAATATCTAAACTTAAATTTATCTTTCTTCGCTTAGATATTGGTAGTTGTGGAAGGCATTATGAAAATCTTTTTCCTTGTGTTATGTCAATAAAGTTGTGTCACTTGCGTTGACATGTGATTGTGAATTGTGAATGTGATCATCGTCGATTATCTTCAAAGTCCTAAATCTAGGACATCCTAACACCTAATCCCTAATACCTAATCGATGAAAAATCACATGTCAACAACACAAAGTCCGGCTTGATTGTTTACTTCAAACTACTGTATTATTCCTTCATTTTTGAAGCAGGGCTCGAAATTTATTTTTGGGAATAGGTGCACTGGTGCACCCAACCTAAAAAATTAGGTGCACAAAATTTTTTTGGGGTGCACCATATAAAACAAAACCTTATTGCAGGTCTTACTGCTCCTCTTCTGAGCTTAAATCTAAAATGAGAGCTAACTTCAAAATCTTAAACAAGTACTACAACAAAGATTTTATTATTTTTCTGATACTTACAGACCAAGAATATCTGGTATACTATTATAAATTTATAATTTTAAAAATTCCTACAAAAATATTTTTGGGTTTACCAGTGCACCCACAGAAAAAAATTGGGTGCACAGCTCCAATTTTAGGTGCACATGCACCCAGTATTTCGAGCCCTGTGAAGGGAATTCATTTTGCAGGGGTAAGGAAAAGGAAAAGGAGTGTTTGTAGTTGTAACATCCTGTAGTACAGCAGTAATACAATGGAAAGGCATATTTGCAATGTCATCATGATACCCAGAAAAACAAAATCACTACAAGCATTTAAAGATTTACCGATCAGAAAGTAGCACAATTATCTAAGAAGCACTGCAGAAAAAAAAGGTCTTTCATGGAACTTCGTGTCAAGTATTCTTACAGGAGTCCCTATCATGAGATGAGGTTTTGAGCGCGTGAAAAATCTGCGCGTGAAGATATGCAAATTAGCTGATTCCCAAGGGATTTGAAAACTTTTTGCTGTTTTACGCTTAAAGGTTTTAAAAAAGACAAGAAAATAAAAATTCATCATTTCGCTTGTATTCTAGACTACAAAGCCTTGTTGTTTTGTCCATTTTTCTGTGATTTTGGGTGATTTTGAAAGGTTAAAGTTTTCACGCGCAAAAAAGGTTGAAATTTGCGCGTGAAAGAATTTGTTATTAAAAGCATGAATTTAAACTTCTAGAAAGGAGAAAAGCTTTAGATTGTTACATTTTACCATCCTAAACCTCATACTAGTAACTTTTCCATGTATTTCTTACAAATTCAAGTGATTTTCAAGAGTTCAGGTTTTAAAGAAGATATGCAAATTAGCTTATTCCTAAAGGACCAACATTTTCAAACAAAAATTTTGGCTATCAGAGGGAAAATTATACCAGAGGACAACATTTTCCTGCCTAAGAATTTGGTACTGCATTTTTTTTAACGCATTTCCCGGACTTTTATTTTTCACGCGCAACTTTAATTTTTCACGCGCAAATTTTTCACGCACAGAAAACCCGTTCCCCCTATTATCCTATGTTCTGCTGAATTGATTTGAACCACAGTTGTTGAATGACCTTGGACCAGTTTACAGTAACTGTTACATATTAATCACATACAGATAGGCAGGCCCTAACTGTACTGTAGATCTATTATATAACCTTTGTACTTGTAGTACTTAGCTTATCTAGGACAAACTATTTTCTGCATGACAAGCAGTTTCTGCGGTTATGCTATAGGTGGACATGATCCTACCTGATCTTTGATCATATAGACAATATAATATTAATGTGAAGGTTGTATTCATGTTATTGATGTGAATCTTGTACTTATATTATGGATTTTGTCTCGATCATTGCTGCACACATTTTGACTATAAACTCACTGTAGATTAGTTGTTGTTCTCATAGAAGTTTATGTCCTTCTGTTGTTACCGACTAAAATCTCCTTATAAAATGTATGTGTAGGGCCATATAGTACGAAATCGAGTTTGTAGTGATTACTTATCATTTAATGGGATTTATACCCTGTTCACATTCATTTTTCCTATTCGAATAAATGGGCTATCCGAATAGAAAATTGTCTATCCGATCCGAATAATTTTCTGGAGTGTGAACGCTCCAAATCACTTAGATTTTACTCAAATCAATTCCAAAATAATCCACCTCGGGAGGTGGTTTGAGACACTTGCGGCGGATTCGAATCGGACGAAACCGCGAGTGTGAACGCGAAGTGAATTGGATTCGGGCTGTCTTACCAATCAAAGCGTAGAACGCGAGCTGCTACGCACCCGGTGGTTTTTCAGGCGAGAATACGTGTTACGAGTTTCTTTTTCCGTGGATTTTCTGACGTTCGACGCCGATTTTTGGCACGCTATGATAACGCCGTTACCGCTGATACTGTACTGGAGACAACAGATGAGTGATCATTTTACAATCGATGAAAACACTTGTTGAATGAAACAGCAATGAAAGCTAAGATGCAGCAAGTTATTTTTCAAAACTATTTGTCTCGTGATTGAAAGAAAAGAGGCGTTTTGTTTAATTTTTTGACGTGATCTTACCTGGTAATTTGTAGTGGGAATGTTTCCAGTACGTGAGAAGTGGGAAGGTGGCGGCTTGGTAAAATTTTCTTGCGAAATATGAGTTTACGAAGCGAGGCTCGTGATGCATATAAATGTTTGGTGAAAATAAGACGTAGGGATATGGCAATTCTTTCGCGGGCGGGCGCAATTCGGATTGGCGAAAAGCAGTGCAAACACTCTTGTGGATTCGGTGTCGATTCGGATAGACAATTTTCTATTCGGATAGCCCTTTTAATCGAATAGGAAAAATGAATGTAAACGGGGTTTTAATGGAGTAGATGAGAGATAATCCACCCAATTGTCACTGACACAATTATGTTTTTCACACCTTGTTGTCACCAAGCAAGCACAGTAGGGGCATTCTCATTCGACAATGCCCACAGTTATATGTGCAAAGGCTAGGTGTTACCATTAGGACTGTGTATACTATAATATAATGTCCTTGGTGTGACAAATTGTTTGTGGTAATAATATACCAGCTGTCACTGTGTGCCTACAAAGCTGGAGTGTTATAGATATACCGAAGAAATATTAGATACATCTACACATGTAACTAGTTTCACTTGGGCTTTGAAAGCATCCCAAGAGTACTATAATTGCCCTTGAAATTGTATTGATGGTTTTTTTAGTCATTACGCTGTTTGTAAACATTATGGAGACGCCTTATAATAGTGGACTGTTCAGGACAAAACCGGTCTGAGGGGTGACATTTGTGACAGATTTGGTCACAACTCGCAGCCATGTTGGTCTGTTTACAATGTATGGACATATATAAATAACACTACCTTAACATGTAAGGGACGTATTATTTGTGGCCTTCAATTTTGTCAATATTAAAGCAAATTGCATTGCAGCACTGCTCTATTGTCGACTTGACATGGCGACTTGAGGCCAGTGAGCAACATTTACTATGCCAAGTTGCTATTTTTCAACAATTGGTCTCCAAACTGTAACATATTTTCCACACAAATTATTGATCGTGGATATTAGATTTCGTAAACAAACACGCACGTATATACTATGATACACTGACACTATACAGTCTTCTTTTACAATTTTCCTTTCCCTTTTCCGAATAAAACTCCGCAGACAACACGTGCACACCACGTGTGTTGTAATTTTCCTACTCAGCGTCACCCTAAGAAAATTTTATACATCATGCATGACCGTAGCGAGGACATACTCACGTGCCCATTTTGCGGCGACAAGGAAGAAAATATTGACCAAAATCGCTGATTTCTATTGCTGAGACCTATGTAAGAGTATTTCTGGACTACATGGGCGACAGAGGGCGTCCCAAAGTCATGGTCACGAGCTTCATACGTCACCGACGCGCCATAACTCCCGAGGCGGCCGCAGGCGGCATCGGGGCCCGCGCGGCGTACCACAAAGCTCCCCCTCGCCTTACGTGCTAAAACGTACGAGCTCACGAGCCAAATACTCACCCAGCATCTCTTCCATGCGTCGTGTTCATCTTGAATTCGTCTCCAGGTGAAAATCGGTGTCCTTTCTCCTAAATTTGAAGGCTGGTTTTCGAGATGTTTTGTCCTGGACGCACGTCAACAAAACCTGGGCATCACGCGCCAAAACCAGAGCGACCTACTGACATGTGGACCACACCAATGCTTTAACGGGGACCAGTCTTTAAAAAATTGATTCCCGTCTTGAATTTCAAGTCCAGTGGTGACAAAATCACAACCTCTTAACTTAATTGAAGAGATATTGAATGCAATATTATGTAAAATGCATCAACATTGAGTATATTTAGCCTATTTCAACTTTGCCACCCTTGTTTAGAATGGAATAGTCCACAGGTATGACGCCAAGGCCGCAGGGGGTGTGTTGGGGGTGTGATTATTTGTTGACCAGGTTTAAGTTCCAGATAAAAATAGACCTTGGACTCCAATCTATTATGTACGTGCCAACTGTGAAGTATAGACTGTTTCATAAAGACTTTTGGACGGAACCATTATCGAGGTGGGGGTGCATTTTAATGCGCATCCTTTCCTTGTATAGATGTTGTTCTTGGGTATTTACGTCATTAATGGTTATCCGAAAAGTGAAAAGTTACTGGGAAAAAGTTCAGTGTAAATGTTTCAGGCGTGATCTTCCTTCCCTTTTCTCTTGAAAAATTGTTTTCAAAAGAATGGAACAGTGTTGAGCTATTGATTGAGTCAGTGGGCGTGTTGGGGGTGTGGTTGTTTGAAACCAGTGTCAACAGGATATACTGTCATATAAGGACAATGGTGAGACCAATGGGCAATGTGTGAAGGTCAATGTGTGAAGGTCAATGTCACCGGTGGCGGTGAGGGCTTAGTGGTTTATTGGGCCCTTTTGGGTTGTTTCCGCTGGGTGATCCTGGGTGTCTCACCGTTTCCAAAAAAATTCTCCGACGACCACGGTGGGACTCGAACCCACAACCTCCGAATAGCTGATCCAACTAGAAGTCCGGTGCGCTAGTCCATTGCGCCACGTGGCCCGCGTACCGTCTTCCACGCTACTGCTACTTCTATTACTACAATAAGCGTAGAAGTGCCAGATAACGTGCGGTAAGGCCACAGCAAGTAAATTTTATGGATGACATCCTCCACAGACTCCAAATCTAATGCGAGCGGGCGAAAAAAAACAAGGCGGGCCTAAAAAACAAGGTTCCTACATTCTCAAATATTGACTCAATCATTGTACAAATGGTTTTGATTCAGTGGGAACATCACATAACACACATACACAGCCAGTACCACATATATCACTGCATCAAAGTAAGAAACAAAACATTAAATCAGAGCCTTTTCTTCTCTCCTCTTTTCATAGTTTAGCCTGGGTACCATCCTGGTTATAATTAGTTTACGTCCGCTCCTACAGTAGCGACTGTAGGAGCGGACGTAAACTAACCAGGATGGTACCCAGGCTATTCATAGTTATCTGCCAGACATCTTTGCCCATTTCCGGCATGTTGACCACTGTCAGAAGGCAACAAAATTTCTTGTTAGTTTTTTTTTTTTCCAAATTCAGGCGAACATTATATATATATATTAATGCGCGCGCTGATGTCATCCATAAAATTACTTGCTGTGGCCTAACAAGAGATATTAGATATCGAGCAGTAGTGCGATTTGTTTCACTTGGTAACCGGTTTATTTAGTGCATTGTTTAGCTGTTTGTCATCATAAACACCTCAAGTACAAATGTAATATAATTAGTCTCTCTGTCGGGCCGCTATGAGCGCGATTTAATCATGTTATACATGTGTATGCAAAAGCTATTTTCTTGAACAATTAAAAATCAGCAAACTTGCATGAACAGAAGTCAAGTCTTTTCTTTATACAAAGCTTTGAAATATGTTTGCATTCAGCGACACAGAATTACTGTTAAAAGCCGTAACACCTAGCCTCCTTCGCAGTCTTGTTGGGCGTCGGCGTTATTTTTTCTCTGAGCGACGCGAGTAATATGCGGACGCGAGGGACGATTTGCTGCCGAGGGAGTTTTTGCCACGGAGAGAAGGTTTCGCGCTCGGCAAACTGGACCCTCTATGGCCGGCCAACTCCTCTGGCCAATGATTTCCCCCTTTGCCGATTTCTACTATTTATTCAGCCTGCAAAGGAGTCTGGTAGAGACTACAACAAGACTGCGAAGGAGGCTAGTAGCACCAGCATGCGTCATACACTATGTATTTTCCGAAGAATAAAGTACTCTCCAAGCAGAGGTTTGAGGTTGGGGTAATTTTTGGCGTGTTTTTAGGCTTTTTTATCGAGGTTTCTCTTTCGCACTGAATTTTTTTCCCATGGGTTTGGTGGGAAAAAAATTCAGTGCAAAAAGAGAAACCCCGATTTAAAAAAAAAACTAAAAACACTCTAAAAATACCCCCAAAACGCAAACCTCTGCTTGGAGAGTAAGAATAAAGTACTACGTGAATCTTGTTTAACATAGACTAGGGCTACAATTAAACCTACCATATGTTTTCTTAAGCTTGATAATTCTATGACATATGTTGAGATTGTTGTTTGTTCTCTAACCACGCAAGTGATATTCTAGAGCTCATTTTTACAGCTGACAAGGGAATAGGGAGTTCTAATAATATATCTACAGTGGCTAGCATCAAGTGTCGAGATGAAATATTAATCAGCTTCGAATAGCATGCCTCAATAGAACGATAGAAGTCATATGTCAGGTAGAGCAATAAAAGAACCGATGAGGTCATAGGTAAAAGGGCTAGGGTCAAACGATATGAGACAGTCAAGGGTCAAAGGTGAAGTGACACAGGTCAAAGTATTATGAAAAACTTAAACTGTTCTCCAACTCAAAATTTGACTCACCAGAAATTTTCGACTGAATCACTCAGTCTTCCTCAGCTATCTGACCCAAATGCTGTGGACAGTTGATTAAATTTCCCACGTGTGACGTCAGCCAAGGGTCAAAGGTTGTCTGAAGTCGATATCGCCCCCCCGTCCCGGTTGAGCGATGGTTGAAGTGCCCTGGTGTATATGGCCTCTTTTATGCCTCTCTTGAAGCATTTGGGTCAGATAGCTGAGGAAGACTGAGTGATTCAGTCGAAAATTTCTGGTGAGTCAAATTTTGAGTTGGAGAACAGTTTTAAGTTTTTCATAATGTAATTTACCAACTTAGATGAACTTTCATGCTCAGGTCAAAGTATGATGTAAAGTTTTTTGCTCAGACGAAAGTGTCAGCTACGTGAGTAGTGCTGGTCCTGGGTAGGAAATACGGCTGGATGTCCTCCTGGGTCTTCTTCTTTGGGTCTTCGTCATCATCGGAGATGAGCTGGTCCTTGTCGGTCGGGCTGGTGCCGATATCAGACTCCACCATGCTGTCGCGCACGGAACTGCAGGCCGACGGCTGGGGCGCGTCGGCCGGGTCACAGTTCACGGGGTCACAGGTCACGTTGTAGCTTCCATGGGAACAGGTGTCGCTACCTGAACGGCACGTAAGAACACAGAAGTGACCATTCAGTCATGACAGTACCAACTGTACCTATCCTCGAGCTCTTTGTCTAAGCGACCAAACTATAAGCCGGTCACCTGGCCGTAATGACCGCTATTTCTCGGTCCACTTTTCCCCATAGACGTGACTTGCCTAAAACGACAAATTGTCCAACACGACAACGACCGGTACTATTTGGGACCACACATGCACACCCAATCTCTGCCTATGACGACCGTGTTCAAGCTATGTTGCAAAAAACGTTTTCTGATAATCTTGATGGAATCAGCTACAAGGTTAGCCTACCCTGGAAATCCAGACTCGCTGTCCGGGCCGCAAAAGCCCTTCGCCCGCTGGTGTAAATTACCGCTACGGGGGAGTCTAGCCCGGGGGGAGGTTGGCTCGCCGGACCAACGTAAGGGCCAGCCAACTCCCCTCGGGCTCAACTCCCCCGTAGCGGTAATTTAGGCAGGCGGGCGAAGGGCTCTCGGCTGCCGAAGGAAAACGGCTAACGGCCCGATACTAGTTTGGCATCCAGGGTAAGGTTAGCCTGGTTACCAAACCTATTATAGCTCCCGAGTCCTACATCCTCTCCGCAAATAGGACTCGGGAGCTATAATAGGTTTGGTAACCAGGCTACTACAAGGTTACATACCTGCGGACGACACTGTATCCTCAAACTTGTGTCTTCTGAATTGATTCTGCCGGCGACGGATCCAGAAGATGCCGAGGACGGTGCAGCCGGTGAAGACCACCATCGCCACCGCCACGCCGACCAGGATGGGCGCCAGGTCGGTCTTCCCTCCGCCGCGCGCCGCCGCCGGCTGACTGGGCTGGGCCGGGCGGGTGGCGTCCTCCACGCACTGACTCCGCTGGATGTGCGAACACCGCAACCCGTGCAGAGACACCTGGATTGACGAACCAATGAATAACTATAACATTTGCAAAGCAAATGCATAATGTTTACCTTCTCATATAGTCTGCTCTGTTAATTCTTATTCAAACACATTCATACAGGAGTCTAAATCCCTCCTGCTATAAAATTGCAACATGGTGTAACACAGCACCTCGGCAAAACGTACTGCACCTGCGCGAAACCCGTAATGTATATTGTGCATAGCACTTCAGCAGAACGTCTCATATAAGGTTAGCATTTCGACAGTAGTTTCCAAATGTTGTGTCAGAAAAGATATCCTCTGCAACAGTGAAAATTCTGATGCAATGTTGACCAAAAATCCAACTAAAAACGCGAAAATCCAAGGTTCTGCGCAGGCGCAGTACGTTCTGCCGACGTGCTGTGTAACACAGCACTAGTTACCATGGTGACAGACGTCTGGTTCAGGTCATTGACCTTATTTGTTTGGAGAAGAAGAGGAAGAAACTGAGCAATATATATATATATATATATATATATATATATATATATATATATAGAGAGAGAGAGAGAGAGAGAGAGAGAGAGAGAGAGAGAGAGAGTAGTAGT